TAAAAAACTATAGATTACTAAGCCCAAAAACTGTTTTAGATATATTTGGAAAAAGATAAAAGAAAAAAAAACATACACAAAGCTGTAAAAAACTAACGGGTTGAATGATCGCACTTTGCATCTCAATTTTTTTTCATGTACTTCGCTCTATTAGAAAAAGCAAAATATATAAAAAGACGCAGCATGAAACGCTCTACAATTTACATAAGATGGTTTACTTTACAGTTGCACTTTTCATTTTCAAAATAGACAATATTTTGATGCAATAAATTTCGACCGTTTCAAAACGAGATTTTGTTTTTGGTGCAAGATGAATTGGTTTTTTTTTATTTCACTTTTTTATAGTTGTTTTTTGTAAATTATAGAGCTTTTCTTGCTGTGTCTTGTAGCGCATTTTACTATTTTTTAAATAGAGCATGTCAAGTAATAACAAAATGAAATAAGACAAATCGAATTCATCTGGAACAAAAACAAAATCTCGCTTGGAAACGGTTGAAATTTGATCACTGAAAGTATTGTCTATTTTGAAACCAAAAAGTACAACTATAGAGTAAGCGATCTGATGTTAATTGTAGAGCTTTTCACGCTGCGTCTTTTGGTATATTTTGTTTTTCTAATACTACGAAGTGATAAAAATGATATACAAGGTGTGATCATTCATCATACGCAATCCGTTAGTTTTTACAGCTTTGTCTATGTCTTTAATTTTCATATTTTTTCAAATATATCTAAAACAGTTTTTGGGCTTAGTAATATATAGTTTTGTAGAGAATTTCAAGTGATCTCTTTTTCAAAATAAAATATGTTTTCATCATGGGTATAATAGAGAAGAAATATTCAAAAATACTAACAGTCTAATTTATTCTGTGCTACCCGTTATATTCAGAGTTACAGAACTTACCCTGATTTGGTATTAGTGTGATTTCAAAAAGACAAGTGTTGTTGTTTTCCTTTTGAACTTGAATAATGATTGGATCAGTAGTATTTATACGATGAATATCTCCGATTGTTCCATTTTCTAAGAATTGTCCAGTTTCATTATAGAAACAATAATGAAAATCAGAAGATGTTATTGCTAGATTTTGTTCTTGAGCAAAACGATTGATAAGATCGTATAATTTACAGTCAGACCTGGCAAAATATTCCAATTGTTCAGTTTCGAATTGAAATTGAATAGAGATCAATGTTGTTTTGTCAATAATGAAATATTCTTTTGGTAATGGATTTGGTGGATGACTATTATTATCCATAAAATTGAGTAATATTTTAGAATTGTCAATAACAACGAATGTATCAAAATCATATTTTTTAGTTTTAAATAATAATTTCAATTCCTGAAACAGTTTATCATTTGACCACATAGACTTAACTGATGTACCATCGGGAAGTGTGATTACCAATAGAGATTTCTTCTTTTTCGAACTACTTTCTTGTAATTGTTGCTCTTCATCATTGATTTTCGAAATCGATTGAAATGATCTTATGGGAATCGTACTGATATGTAATTGAAAGAGTGATTTATATCTAATTGACTGATTTTCATTTATATCTGGTTCATTACAAGGTTTATCGGTTGTTTCATCATCATCAATGTCGTTATCACTGAAAGAACCAGGTGGATATCGACTTTCATTGGTATCGTTTATTAAGAGGCTTCTATTTAAACGTCGACGATATCGATTCTTTTCAATTGCATATTTTATGTTTTCAGTTGAATCAAAATTTTCGTCCCACAATTGTCGTGTTTTCTCTTCAATAGTAATTTTTCGTTCTTTAAGAACTGATCGAATTCGATGTAAATAAATAATGAGAGAAACATAATTTTCACATTTGATTTCTTCTGGTATTAATGAAAGAATATCATTCTCAATACTAGTAGCTATACTCGTCGTTTTCAATGATTGAGTTGATCGTCGTGATAGAGTATCTTCAATTGATTTTAAATCATTTAATAAATCATTAATTTTTTGTATTTGCGACTCTAGATCATCAATTTTTTCATTGTAATCGATATTAATTACATTTTTTTCAATTATTGATTGGAGTTTCTTACTTAATTCAATGTTCATCGGTATACGAAGTAAATCAGAAACATCAATGAATGAATAATCAAAATTTCTGATTAATGTTTCATACAATTTACCTAGATTATTTATATAACACAATTTAAAGTCCTTTACCTCATTGTCTACTAACTGTTGAAGAAGAAATTCATCAACAGTAATTGATCGAACAAAATCATAAAGATTAGTCGACGATAAATCGTCTTGTTGATCTTTAAGTTGTAATGCAATCTGCTTTAATAGATTATAACCGTGATAAAGTTTATCGATGAGCATATCATTCAAATGATTCCATTCATTTTCTAAACGAACCGAATAATTTTCAATTAAATTAAAGATTTCATTGTTGCTAGCCGTTATGACAGAAAGCATTTTTCGTCGTTCAAAACATCGGTATTTTTGAGCGATATGTTTATAGTTGATACGAAATAAGAGAAGATATGTTCGAATGATGTATGACTGAATAGATACAAAATCAAAATTCAATGATTTATTCAATCTTAAAAAATATTCTTCATCAACCATGAGACTTGCACAGGAAATCTTTTCTATCCATTGACAGTCATTATCATTCAATGCAATTGCACCTGTATTGTAGAATGCAACATGTGTAATAGATATTGTTTTCTGCATGACTTTTGCTACCAATGATTTCAGCACAGTATTATTGTCGTTTGACCGAGCATCGAATTCTTGTTCAATCAAATCCAAGAAATCATTTTGATAATCAACGAGGATACTTAAAATAAAAAGAAATAAAAGTGCAGTCTATACGTGAGACTAGAAAACTTAGTAAAATCAATGCCACACTAATTCTCTTTTACACAAACAACACCCGAGAATACGTGGACAATCTCAATTCCTTTGTACAGAGAATAATTAATCGTTGTCAAAAGGCTCGGTCTCTTGCCAGTTCGCTATTTGGATGTGGTCATCTATCTTATTCAGGCTAAAATCGAAACGAACTGACGCTGAATATTGTTAGTAATAACATGATAATAACTAATACCATAATTATCGATAAAATTCGATTTTATGTCGAGATCAAAGAAAATACGAAACTGATGGTATTCCAAAATCTATTTGAGAATCTAATGTTCGAAACATTTTTGAAATCTATTCATACCGATTTGAAGTCCAAAAAACGATTTAATTTTCTCTCTGAATGTTACGAAAGAGACTTAATGAAATTTAACAATTTCGAATAAAAATCGTACTGAATTAAACTAAGTAATCAGCCTGAAATGAATTAAAGTAGTGGATGTTTCTCGTGTTATATTATCTATGTTAGATGACATATTGTTTAATTAGAAGGTTTAGGTAAATTATAAAATAAACCAAGAATGTAAACTTAAAATGAGTTTACTTTTCCAACTAGACTCAGTCATAAAACTTTTGACATCGTTATCTTAAGCTTTAAACATTTCGTTTCTATATTTTAGAATCTGACATTCCTAAAAATTATTTATTTGTTATTTCTTCGCGCATAGATCAAAATCAAAATTTTTCATGGTATATTGAATATCTTCTCCTTTTTTATTTAATCGCATATAATTGTGTATAGTCTATCAATTTGGTTTACTGAATTGTTATATGGAGTGATGTTCACATACTATTCTTTAAATAAAATATTCTGTGACTTTTATTTGGTCTCAACAGCAAATGAGAATATGATAGTAAAGTTTTAAATCTAATTACACAATTACTTTCTAGCCTAATTGATTACGTGTTATAAAGAAAAGCCTGTGTACTCTGAACTCCTACCTGATAAGTCTACCTTATTCTATAAGATACAGTATAGTCACGATACACAATCATTCAATTGAATCGACAAATGCTACAAAAAAAATCTAAATCCAAACTAAATGGATACGAATCGATTGTTTAAATTTAAATTTTAAATTAATTCGAAGCAAAACTATATACTCCAGTACGTTTCAGTTAACAATCTAAAATATTGTCTAAGAAGAAGAGAAATTCGTATTTAGTTTAACTTTCCGAATACATGTGTTCTAACTAGGTTCTTTGCATATATTCGATAGTTTTGTTATGACTCAATATTAGGACTGATCGAAATATCTATCAAATCGTCACTTGGATAAGGTACGAATGAAACTATAAGTCTTATCGAACAAGTAGACTCTCTATGTTACCAATTCATTACAATTTAGTTGTGATTCACAAGAAAATTTACCTTAGTATGCGCATAATTATGTCTTCATCATCTGGATTTTCATTGGTGACCAAATAATGTACTGAAGTTTCAATTGAAACTTCAGAAAAATGTTGAGTCTCATCGCAAGCACCTGGTCGAATGAGACCATTTGTAAATTTATGATAAGCATTGATTGCATTAATACCTTTATCGATAATTTCCATGTGGTTTTTAGCTTCATTTCTTCGATGCGAACTAGTAAAATTACTCAAATGCTGTTTAGCTCGATCATACAATTCTTTTAATGTAATTACCATGAATTCCTCGTGTTCTATAAACTGAGCATAAGTTTGATGCAGTAGAAGATAAAATTGAGCTAGTTCATAAATAGTTTTTGTCATTTTGAGAAAATCTATTGAAGCGAAAAACTGTTGTAAGACACGTAAATTTAATTTTGCATTTATTGGATTGTTCATTTCAGTTATAAAATTGGCCATCTGAACAATAATGGGTAATTGAGTAGTATATTTTTGTAGATCCATTTGTATTTGTGAGTTAAGATACAATTGATTAATATGAGATTTGTATTCAGCAAGTTTTTGATAGACATTATAGAAAACATCATTTTGATACTTTTCTTCTGCATTTCGTTTATCAGTAAGATCTATATAGAATGGTTTTATCCATGAAACTTTTTCATCAACTGTCAAATATGCCATACGCTCAAAACAACCATTAAGTAAAATACAAGCATCGTCTTGATTGAAATGAATCGATAGAAAATTGAATGCCGAAAACAAGCGAGCACGAACAAAATGACAAACTTTCGTGCGTAGAGTGTTACCAACCATTCTAGCAGTGGGTGTATTATCGTTAATGGCACTTGGCGACAAAATAGGACCGTGTAAATTTGTAACTGACTCATCAAATAATAGAAGATGCCAAGCCTAAATATGACACAGATGAGAAAAAGCTACAAGATCAATTTATTACTATTACAACTTACCAAAGCACCAAATGTTGAAAAATAAATAGTGTAGGCCATAGGAACACTCATTGTGTTGCTAGATCCATGGCTTGAAAAGTTAAGAACATCACCCGATTCAGTTATGATACAACCACAGTCATAATGCACGTGACTTCTTTCAATGGTTGAAGATCTGGTGGATCCAAAGCCTAATATGAATAGCAGATACATCGAAAAAATTCTATTATTTCCGAAAGAAAATAAATATCAAACAAGTGGTTGTTACTATATTCTCTTCACATACTTAGAAACTGGAAATTGTCTCAACCCGAGAAGAAGATCAATTTTCATTACTAAAAAAAACTTACCATATGTTTTTTCAGCTTTCAATGGTTGAAATGCAAATGTCCAAAGAAAACTTGTTTCGCCTCCCATAATAATCATGGCCATTAGATTGACAAGAGCATGTCGCATGCACAACTCATCTATATCTTGGCAATCTAGTCTGAATAAATGATTGAGATAATTATCGACATCATTATCATTTCTTCCAGAGTATCCAATCATATATTCTTCAGGTTTCAACAAACTTTGAAATACGCATAATTCTTCTGGTAATGGTTGTAGTATCCGTTCAATTACATCTAATAGTGTACTGACTAATTCTAATTGATTATTGCAATAATAGTCATAATAGATGCTTAAAAGTAACATCACTTTAATATCATTCAATTGTAGTCCATCAAAACTTGCATTTAATTTGAGTTGAATCCAATCGCATAGGGAATTCCATTGTGTTTCTGTTTTATTGTTAGTGCAACTGTCAATAATTTGACTTAGTTCATCATAGCATTGTTGAAGTTTTGGAAACATCGATAATGTATAAATATCTGATGATAAAGTAAAACCAAGTCGATGACAATATTGTAAATATTTATTCGATTTGGGTAATTGTTTCAGTTCGAGTCGATCGTACACAATATTTGCCCATGTACTATTAACACTTTGAATATATTCTGATTTCAATAAATTCAAGAGAAAATTCCATGAACGTTTTGATATAATTGTGGATAGAAAGATTTGCAGACGATGATTAAATTGACCTGTATTTTCGTCGATTTTCAAGAATGTCTTAATAAAAGATTTAAAATCTTCAATAAATCCATCTAATTCTTCGTTATTAGATTCTGTTCCACATAAAAACAATGCAATCGAACGTGTTAAAAAAAACTCTCGCAATCTTTTACATAGTTCACCTATCAGAAAAGAAAGTTCATCATGTTTACTTTTTGGTGGTGTCAATTGCATCAATTCATTAATAAGTTCACAATTAATTACATTTTCATTGACGTGCTGTTCAAGATGAAAGAAAAATATATCAACTCGATCAGCTATGCGTAATGAATTATTTAGATATTTATTTGATCAACTCTGGATAAAATTAGATGAACTTTGTTCGAATAGGGACGAAAATAAAATACATCAATGGGTTTACATGTATACATGCATTTACAATTACTATCCATCGAACAAACTTCTTCATGGTTCAAAACTGTCTGAAATTGAAAATCATATAGAATTTATGCGTTTGTCCTATTCAATTTTTTTGAATAATGTAATAGCTGAACCAATACAACTTATCTCTAAATTATTAGAACATCAACCAAATGACAATACAAGATCTATGACAAATAAAAAACGATCAACATATCTTCAAATATTACCACATATAATCAATTGTATAAATGAATATTTTGTAACGAGAAATATAAACGAATATGATAAACAATCTACGCTAATTATTGATTTACAACAATGGGTACTATCAATAATAAGAAGATCAGAAACAGCATTGCTAGATGATATCAATAGTGTTTTTGTTTGTCTAAATGATTNTTGTTTTATTAAACTAAATAATTTCTATTTTACTATTCTCAGTTATGATATTTATAATACTAATATATGAATTATTCTTTTGTACTTTCTTCTCGTTTTCATATTATTATTATTTTTTGTACGTTTTCTAGGAGAAAATAAAATGTGTACAGGTCAAAAAACAGTACGAAAGAAAAACCAAAAAAGTAATTATATGAAAACGAGAAGAAAGTACAAAAGAATAATTCATATATTAGTATTATAAATATCATAACTGAGAATAGTAAAATAGAAATTATTTAGTTTAATAAAACAACAATATAATATAGATAATATTAATAGAAGCCATGTTGTATCCTGTAATTCAACTGCAAGATACTTGTAACAGAACTAAAAGCAACTCATTTAATCACTCATGGAATAGAAATCTAACTTTTTTGTTATATACTGGAGCATTCACTGTAATCGTAGTAGTAAATAGTCCTTGGAAAAAAATATAAGAGGTATCTCCTTGACTTTCAAATTTACAATGAATAAAAAATGAGCTGTATCGTGGCTCTCTGACAATCTCTGATGGAAAAATAATATTCTCATATTATTTCTTTTGAAATTGAATCTATAAAATCTTCAATAATCGTACAATTTCAAAGCAAAATGTTCAAGTTTATGCTTTTTGCAAAAAGTTGTCTTGATTCATAATTAGATCTATATGATAGTTGATTGCTAATTAGAAAATTTTTACAGCATAAAAATAAAATCAATTGTATATCTTCATGAAATATGACGAAGTTCACTTTGTTTTTCATAATATATTAATCATCCATTTTCGGACGAAATGGTTCCGGTTTAAGATCAGTTACTTGATTTTGTTCATAATCAATGAAAATTCTTCGAATAATATCTTTAGGTATAACAAACCAAACAAAATCTTTATATTCATCTGGAACATTTAATGGTGCATCAGTTCGAAAATCAACATTTTCGTAAACATATTTCGGAATATTATTTGCCATTGATTTAGCTGCTTCGATTGGATCATCGGATGAAGATGAATTTGTAACTAACTGAGGAATATTCGAATTCTATAGGAGGAAAAAAAAAGAAATATATATATATATATATAATTAATGATAGAAAAATTAAGTTTAGTTACAATAAGTTCCCTTTGTTGTTGTCCCGTATTCTCTTCCATCGTACCATGCTGATATGTAATCATTCGAAGACTGTAATATTGATAAAAATGATTTCCCGATGGTACAGTACGAGGACGCCAAACAGCTGTTTTTATATCATAAGTATACTGAAAAAAGCAAACAAAAAAAAAAACTTAATATCTTATGAATTAAAACTACTGAAAAAAAAAACAATTTTTACCAATGATAAAAATTTCCATCCATCATTTGCAATAAATTCAATTGCATTTAAAATATAATCAACTTCTTCATCACTTGCAAAATATGATAAATTAAATCGAGTAAAACCAGGTTTCATTAATTCAATTTTAGGCATTTCATTAAGTCGGCCACTAAAATTTATATGAATAATTTCTAAAAATGTATTTATTAAAACTTACTTTTCATCTGCTGTTATAAACTTCGTATAAATGTCTGCTGTTTGATCATCAATATTAAGTAGATCCTAAATTAAAAATAACAATACATTTTATTTAAAAAAAAACTGTTAGAACAATCCCCGTGCGATTAATATGTGGAAAATCATGTATAAGTTGTAACGAAAAATACAATAAAGAAGTGGTTCATATATTAGAACGAGATTTTATTGATACACGTTCTATGATCTTATATTAATAACGTCTGTCATGGTTTGTGAGAGAAGAAAAAAAGGAACAGATTCAAGCTTTTATCCCTATACTTCGAAACTCTTTTCAGACACTGCATTTCACGTAAATACATACTATATAGTCACCGTTGTAAATAATCTATACTCTTTCTTTGATTTAACAGACACAATAAATGTTAGTGTTCAATCTGGGATTCAGTCTAATCTCGAATTCTTTTCGGGGAATTGTGTTGAAACAATGGCATCTCAAGTGTTGCAATCATCAATGGAGAAATTAAAGTAAAATTTGTAAATTTATAGATAAGTTTCTATAGAAGAACAGCTTTTAGGAAAAATTATCCACGACTGTATTATACTTCCTAATTTTATTTCTTCATTGATTATTTTCAATACTAACGAAAAATTCTTTCCTGATCTGACATAGAACTAGTTCAAAATGAGAAGCCGAAATTGACTTGGGCGAATCTGATATAGGACTGAATCCAAGATTGGACGCTAACATATGTATTACTTTTTTTTTATTATTATACTTTACCATTCTAATGAACTGTATAGTAAAATAATAATACAATACACTTTAGTTTTGTTGCTATGTCTGTCTCTCACGATCTGTGAAGTATCATTACTAAGATGGCTGTCACGACTCTAAATTCATACCTCTATATTTCGATACACCTATCTTAGAAAAACTCTTCCTACATCTCACTTACCAAAACATAAGGTCCAGCGCAAGAACATCCTGATCGTACTTGAATACCAAATAAATCATTTAACAATACACAAATAAAATTATGATGTAAATATTTATGAAAAAGTGGTACATAAATAAGAAATGAAAATATTCCTAGTCGAGAAACAGTAGATGATCCAAGTACAAATAATTTTGGATGATTTCGAAATCTTGCAAAGAATTTTGCAACTAATGCATCTTCACGTGCATCAATTGTATGATAACCAACAGATTCTTTTAAATGAAAAACTAAACCAGCTCGAATAGCACCAAGAATATTAGGTGTTCCACCTTCTTCACGTACTTCAATATCTTTTACATATTCAGTATGTGTTCGAGTTACAAAATTAACTGTACCACCTCCAACTTTAGATGGAACTTGATTGGTAAAAAGTTTTTTCTTAGCTATTAAAATACCTAAATGCAAAAAAAAAAAGAAAAACAATTGTTTTAATAGAAATTCAATTTTTCTTTCAATGAAGTTAAAATCAACCTGGTGTTGATGGTCCACCAACAAATTTATGTGTCGAAATAAAGACAGCATCTTTATAAGCAAGTTCTGGTGCATTCATATCAATTTTAAGATAAGGTGCTGCTGCTGCATAATCCCAAAAAATCCAACCATTATATTGATGAACAAGTTTTGAAACATGATCAACATCAGTTCGAATACCAGTTACATTACTGGCAGCATTAAATGTACAAATAATATGTTTTTTTACTTCATCATGATAATATTTCAATTGATTTTTTAAAAAATCTTCATCAATAAGACCTTGTTTATTATTAGGAATACGTATAACCTAAAAACAAATATTAGGACTTTTTACATCAGAGATTTTAGAAGAAATCTACTTCAACTCCTGTTTCTTTCCATGGTAAAATATTTGAATGATGTTCAAATGTAGTAACAAAAACAACAGTTTTACTTCGCACATTTTCCTCTCTCAACTGTAAAACATCGACAAGTTTGTTAATAGCAGCTGTTGATCCTATAAAATTGTCGATTATTTCCTTTTATATTTGACTGAAGAATATTTATTTATTTACCTGATCCAGTAAAAATAACAACATCATCATCAGTTGCATTGACATATTGTTTAATTATTGTTCGTGCTCCTTCACGAAATTTCGTAGTTTGTAATGCACATGCATTATTTATAGTATGTGTATTAGAATAACTAAAAAACAATATTATTTCTAATTTTAGAATGAAAATTATTCTTACTAAGGTAAGACGTTATTCAGCATGTAATGTTCAATAAATGTTAGACCACGGCCAGATGCTGTATAATCAGCATAAATTACTGTAGAAGAAAAAAGTACTTTTTTTATGATAATCAAAGTAAGTAATTATACTTTTTCGAGATCCCCATGGAGTATTGACTCGAATATTTTTACCAATGATATTTGAATCAATATATTGGAGAAGTTGTTGTTTGTCTAAGTAACATAGATGAAATGACCTTAGCAAGACAAGGATTCTGTTTAATCGTATCAGAATAAATAATAGATCGATTCGTCTCTGAGATGAACAACTTCAATTTGAGATTTTTTAAAACTCCACTCTTACTCTGATCATAAAATATCCTATACTCTTCAATGTTTTTTTTAGAAGAATAAATTCTTTCACATCCTTTTTGTAACAGACGTTATTATTCTTTCGAATTAAGGTGCAAAAAAAAAGAAATTAAAACTAACTATGATCAAATTGATCGATATCGGGAAAGATTGCAGATATTATAGTTGCATGTGACCTAGCAAATTGATTCACTTGATCATCAAAAGATTCAGTATTCGATGTCGTTGTAGTTTGATTGAAATGATTTACTGTTTGTTGATGACTTAATGCATTAAATGAATGATGTGGGGATTCCATCAATGAATGATTCTGTAAGAGACAAATGACTTTGAATATAATTTATTTAGCTATTGTTTACTGATGTTTGTTGTTGATGATTTTCAGAAGGTGTTTCTTGTTCTGTCCAATGTTCATCCAATGATTTAAATCGAAAACCTATATCTCTTGAATTGGTTCGAAGTAAAGTGGGTTCATTTGGTAGATCATTCGTAGTTTCCTCTGAATCGATCAAAACACCAGTGTTCGTCAAAAAAGCTTCGACAGCAAACTAATAAAAAAGAAAAACAAATTGAAACTAGTAAATATTGGAATTCTATTCAAAATCTCCATTTAAATGCAAGTATAACTCACGTACATCAAGATCCCATTCATACAGTTCCAAAAAATCAATCACTTTTTGTTGATCTTGCCAATTAGACACTGACTATAAATCAATAACATAAGAATGAAATTTTAAGATTTGAAGTAGAATTTTACTTGAAAATAGTCAATTTTCTGACGCTGTGATTCAGCCATTGTAATTTTGATCGAAACTAAACAGAAAATAGCTTGTTTTGCACGCGTATATATATATATGGCGGAAAATTGGACCTAAAGAAATTTCGCAATAATGAAAAAATTCATAAAATTAGTTAATCGATTTCTCTTAAAACGTGATGAAAAACTATTACAATAGTTAAACGACGAAAAATAAAAGTAAAGTGAAATTTATTAACATATTTTCGTCCATAGAAAGCTGTTTAACTGTCAAGAAAATGAATGATTGAAGGAAAGAAATGTAAAAAAATTTATTCTATTGTACTTATCAGATACTCATAATCTATGAGCAGAACTAAATACAGAATAAAAAAACAAACAATAACGATAATGAAATACGAGCAGTATTCATGTTATGGCACGCACGTAAGTTGTGTCATAAAAAATGATGTTATAGCTATGCATTATTATATATGTTCGTTCTCTCTTTCGTTATCTTAGGTATTTTTCCTAGTGTCATTCTTTTGGTTTTTTCCTATATTTTCGTTCTTTCTTTGATCTAACACCTCTTGTTCGTTTTCTATCATATCTATTGTTATTTTTTTTCCTATTCTTTGCAAAGTCAAGAGAACGTTATTCTTGACCTTGACTTATTTTATTGTGTAGTTAGTAGCACGTATCAGTATCATAGATATATTCGTGTCATTCTAAGAAAATCAGATTAAGATTATTGTTTACAACAAGGAAAGTAACTGATAAAAGTAACTTGAATAACATCTTAAAATAATCATATGCACAACAAGTTAGATCGGATTTAACAATTCAAACTTCCGAAAAAGTAAATTTTTCTCATAAGTTATCAAATTTCAGAAATGACTACCACGGAAATATCATACAAATTGAGACTTTCGGAAATTTCTTATTGTGACCTGCTTCTTTTTCAGATGCAGTCATAAGGATTTTCCCCTCTTTATCTATAGGATGGTACATATGCACTTATGTTCTTCTTCTTTTCTCTTATTGTTTAGTCATGCGTCATGAACTTATGCTTTTCTGACATATATGACGGATTTTTCTTTCTTTGTTCATCACATATGGGATTTTCTATTATTGTCGTTCTATAAATATTCGTTAGATTATTGAATGGATTAGATGTAGATAGTTATAGTTATAAAAATAAAGCATTAGTAGGATTAAGATCTCACATTTTCGATAAATTTTGCTTTTTTTTTTCGATAGATTACGATGGTATGAGGGAAATTTCTGTCGATGGAAAAATACACTGTTTCGGAAATCTGAGTCGACCTCAGAAATAACGAAAAGAAAGTTAAAATACACGAACTTATTCAATTTTTGTCCGTAACATGTTGAACAGTTATCGGAATAACTAAATGAAGACAAAAAAAAGGTTAATTTATTTTTCTGATTCTATTTTTATTCTGACAAGAAATAGTTTTGCGATTGTCAAAAGCCGCCAGCGCTATAGAAATTTTGTTGCGCATAATATCAATGGTTTCAGTAGCTGAGGAAAATTTTTCAAAAGACTTTTATCGACTCTTTACAGTTTTCGAATTGACTAAATAGCAAATCAAAGGCATCGTCAACATGATGGTTTCATTAACAGGCCGTTGCAACTTTAAGCTCACTAAAGATGGTCAGTCACTATCTATTCAATGCTTAGAAACTGCTTGTCACTCCTATATTATAGATTCGCACCTACTTGTTTTGATGGTTAAAACGCTTTAACCCTTATTAGAATAACAGACAATCGTTGTGATTCATCTTTTATACTGTGAACTGGGGAGATAAAAGATTTCCAAGCTTACTCAACGAATGGAAGACTACCTGAGAGTCATAAATTCAAGCAACCCCTTGCTTGATTCAATTAGTCAGATATGCATCAGCATTGATAAGCGGATAAAATAAGCACAAGGTAGCATACGTTGCCCACCAAGGTGAGATAATGGTGGAGAGCAAACGACACTATTCTAGAATCTAACATAGGTGAGAATTTTTCTCTTCATTCATATGCACACACCTCACAGTCTAGTTCTTTATGAGATGCTGTCGAAGGCAGTTAGGTAAAATTAGAGGAAGCGACTGGAGCAAGTATTAGTGTGTGAGTGTAGGTGTGGTTGCTTGGTTCACGACAGTTACACCCCATGCATCGCACGTAAAAAACGATGGGGTGTGTGGATATGTGGGTGTGATTCCTCACATCCACACCCACCCACACCCACACCACACTCACCCACACTCACTCGATGCTTGTTCGAGGGTTTTTTCATGGATTCATCAAATTAATGTATCTGATTAAGTAATGTCTTCTTTCTTACCGCTTGTGATTGAACAACAATGTGACATTAATAGTGCCATATAGTTATATTTATTCAAAAAAATTGAACTACACATAAAAGTTGACTTGGGCACAGCAATGAAGAATATATTAAGTTCATTCTGATGCAATTCAAAAAAATGTTGAGATAGATCAACATCTTATATTGGACTAAGTTTTGACGAAAACGAGTTTATATTCAGTTTATATGTTTAGTTCATGAGTTTCATCATGAAGTAATGACGAAACTAACAGCGCTTCATAAGTGGATAAAATATCTTCAATGATCTGGCATGTGAACGATCATTTGCGAAAGAGGAGGAAAGCGGAGGATTTGAAAAAAGGTTTTTGGAGGATAGTGCTCGGAGAAAGATAAAGGAAGGGAATAGTAGTGTGCCTAGGTGGTGGCTGAAGAGGACACTGCCCTCCCACCGACAAGAAGGACAACTTAATAATCATCTTGAAATTTGTATCGCTTTTCCAGCATATAATATAGCTCCAAGAATTCAGTTGGCAAAGAATGAATGCGCCTCTCCGTTCTAATAGAGTTTCATTTGAAAAAAATATTCTGTTCGAAATAAAAGGGTAGGCTTATGAATGATGATTAACGATTACTTACATCTATTATGAGTTTAGAATAACAATAGTACAAAAAGTGTAGAGGATATGTTAGTAGCAGGGGCCAAATCGATCAATTTTGTCATAAGTTTGTCTACATTCACTCGCTTTTCTAAAATTAGTTCTGGTCGACTCAGTTCAACATCATTTTTCCAGAAGTGGTTGGACTTCGGTTCGGATCGACTCGAATAGAATCGAACCGTACCGTTATAGTTCTTTTCGGTCTCTGATTGTTAGTACAGGCTGTATATGGGGAGTAGATGTCTAATTTGTGTTCGAAGATAAGTAAAATTTTCAGCATTTGATTGACAACATCATGCAGCTAAAAAGCAAAAATTTGTATTGTGAAGGCCGAAATGTAATAATAAAATTTGAATCACGCTATTCAAGTCAATGTTGCCTATCTAAATACTAAATAACCAAAATACCAGTATTTCAAAATTTATCTACTAGGTATAAATTTCTTTCTGAGCTGTAAATTGATGACAGATTTTACAGAAAAAAAGGTGCCATAAGAAACGAACGAAAGTTTTGTAGAAAATCTACGAAGTCTTAAAAAAGAATCCCACGTTCCTGACAAGTCTTTTTGAAGGTGTTTTAAGTCCGTAGGAAACCTTAAAAGGTTTCGACTTCGTTACAATCTAGATTTTATATAGTACCATTCTTTAGAGTTTGCGATGTATACAGAAACAAGCATTGATCGCGGCTTTTCAGGAAGGAGGGAGGAGAGAAGGCACAGTGAACAAAAAAAAGACCAGAAACATTTCTTTTAATAATTGCAGCTATTAACTTAATATTTTGTGCATATGTAGCTGACACTTCATAATGATTATCTCCGCTTACCTAGCCTCTGTCATGCGAAAGATTCCAGGAAAATGAAGTTTTCGGCTTTTGAAAACTGCGAATAATACAATAAAAAGTAGCTGCTCCATTATAATGTTTTTTAGAAATATGAGACAACAATGTTTTTTCATATACTTGATACAGTTATTAATTCTGCATTATATAAATCTGCCATGCACTAATTATTCTCCAAGGAGCTGAGACAGTTTATCATCAATAAATCGTTTCCATCTTTGAAATTGTTGCAAATTTGACCTCACTTTATAGTTTTCATTCAATATTCATCTTAATGCGCGAATTACTTCAATGCAAGTCTGAAGTCTTTTAAGACAAACTTCACTCTTTGGTTAAAGTGGAACACTCATAGACGTTTATGTCGAACATCTAGAAAAAAAGTTGTGTTTTAGTAGTTTATTACTAGAAAAAGCTCTCTTGATAGCAAATTACAAAAAGCTTAGTAACCGACCGATGCATACAACTCAGAAGACCTAATATTTTGCCCTTAACACAGGCAAACCAAAACATACTTATTAATCTAAAATTGTTAGAAAGCCATATAAACTCTAACAAATATTGATTTCACAGTTGCATTTTTTTAATGATACTAGTCGTTTATGATCTGATTGGCCGACGTTAGTCAAAAATAACACTTAAGCTCAATTAATAGTTGAGCTAGGTAAGAGCTTAGATAGAAGACACAGTTCATATGAGTCAACAAATATTGAAGGAAATTCATCAAATTCACATGTTCAGGTTTGACGCAAGTCTAATTGTGGCGTGTAAATGAGCTTTCTGATGCTATGAAGTTTGTAACAAAAAAATGAAATCATAGAAATACTTCCAGTCAGTTTATAGTATTTCATGAGTTTCAGCAACGTCTCTCTCATATGTTGTAGAAAATTTCTATAAATGTTATGCAAAGTTTGAAATCATTCTGTAATATGTCCTGAAACGTATTAAAATGAGTTTCCAATTATTTCATATTTTCTAAAGTTCTGTTTAAAACCTAAATTTCCCGATGCTCACAGTATGTGTTGCAATCTGTGTTAGCTCGCACTATAAAAATTATTCACTTCTACTAACATTATCTGGTTGAGACGAAACTTAGAAAGATTATGCAGCTCGAAGTATTTTTTACGAACGGGAAAGTTATAAAAGTAGGAAAGAAACCACATTACACTGTCGAACAAAAGTATTTTTCCCTTATGTCTTTTTATGCTGCCCTGCTTTGTATCAAATTTAT